CAAATGCCAGTTCGACATCACAAGTGGAAAATGCCATCTCGAACTGTTTCTTTCACGTTTGCAATGTAGAACGAGATATGCCCTCGATCGCACAAATCGCAATCGCGCTGAGTATGCATATTTCGTACGCATGGAGGAGCTGAACCCTTGCTTTTTCAACTGTGTAACGGAGTTGAGCGCGCTGCGGAAGAATTTGAACTATGCATTTCAATATTTGAAATTGACAGTGCCTCAAATTAACCAAGTAGAGACCTCCAATTTCATATTCTATATATGTATTGTGATAGGAATTCGTAGGAATTGATTTCGGCGGAATTTGTTCTGTCCAATCAAAGCTTTATGCTAGTTTGATTGGTTCAATTCGTGAAATGAGGTCACACGTGCCATTTCAACTTCCACGCTGACAAAGAAACAACTTCGCAGCTCAGCGTGTCTTGGCCCCGCCAGTCTCCGTGGTATGCACAGGCTATATACGCGAGCTACATTCAGGTAATCTGCACATGCATGCCCAAGTATTGGACTTCTCACGAAATAGTTTATGAACATGTGTATTGCCGATGCTGCAAGACTCCGAGCGAGCTCACATTGCGCACAAGGTACGCACAACACATCAACTCAATCCATGCCCCAACGACACGTTCTAATCTGCTTCATGACGCTGCTTTCTAGGTCTCTGTAGATCGCTTGTTCCTTTTGCGGTAGGGCCGAGCGTGGGCAGTCGGCTCCACTTGCCGGACAAGTCTGGCGGCCGTCGAAACACGTAGTTGTCCGTCCCTTAGAGTACGTTTCTTTGACGTGCTTGAACGTATAGGGTCCAAAAGGCCGTTTGCAACGGCAAACGATGCGGTCAATTCCAGCGCAGTGGCCGAAGGGGATGGAGGTGAGCCATTCTTGGCTATGTAGAACGTTGACATTCGCTCCATAATATATTTCCATTCGTAATACTCTTTGCGTTCGGACAACAGCGATATATCGCGGGCAGATATTTTACGAAACGGAATGATCTTCTGTGCAGGGTTGCCGCGCCACCATAAAATCCACGCAGTTGCCAAATCGACACTTGGAAATTTGAAATTTTATGGAAGCATGTGCAACCGACCACCCCATAAACAGACAGAGAGTTTAGATCGACTTCGTCGGTTGATGATGGGGATGGATTAGAAGGTTGAGCTTGTTGCAATACCGCTGCGATGGCTTGGGAGAGGGTGCTTTCAAAGAACGCCTGCGTGATGTTGCCAGCAGCAAGACCCCTTTCGTCGACGATTTGCCGGACACCATTTAAAACAATATCAGGAATACTTTGGATCGATTTTTCATTTCGATCCAGTTGCCGTAGTAACTCCACATGGGGCGGGATGCCTGAGGCAAACAAAAACGTGGACTCGGTCCCCGAAAAAATCAATGGGCGTAGCTTTGACACCAAA